GTGTGTGTGTGTGTTCAAGGTAAGTAACAACTGATCAGTGCAGACTGTGATACGGCATATCTGAACTTCCCTGCTAGAACTTGCTTTTTACATGTTTTTAGTTTCATCGTAATGCCTTCTTGGGCATCAGTGATGTTGGTCAAACGTTGGCCCTGCTCACTTCAGATGGATTCTATTCTGCACTCTAATAGCAGCGTTTAACACTAATGACGGAACACAGCAGCAAAGGGCAAAGGTGAGACGCTGTCTCTTTAACTGTCTGTCAGCATTGGTTTGGTCACTTGAGGGCACATTAATAAAATGACTATTTGAACTCTGAGGCCGTTGGTGCTAGTCTTTTGCTAACTCTGCATGTTATTTCAGGTAAATGGATAATCATTCCGAGTGCTCTTTTATCAGAGTTGAGGAATAAAACAGAATGGATTTACATGATTTCTTCTAGAAAGAAACTTGACCTGCATTTAAAGGAATTTTTGGAGTCAAATATATCTGGGTTAATCTCACAAAACCTGTCAAGAACATGTTCAGGTCATATTTCAGCCCAAAACCATAGGGGGGGGAATATTGTTTTTTATAAAAAAAAAAAAAAATTGATTTTGTTTTGAAAGAAGTGTCTTATTGTCACCAAGTATTCAAATATGCATTACGGTAAAATGGTAATATTGAGAAATATTATAGCAATTTAAAATAACATATTAATACATTTTAAAATTTATTCCAATGAATACACTACAGCAAAGCTGAATTTCAGCATCATTACTCCAGTCTTCAGTGTCACATGATCCTTCAGAAATCATTCTAATATGCTGATTTGCTGCTCAGTTATTATCATTGTTGAAAACAGTTTTGCTGCTTAATATTTTTTAGGAAACTTTTGAATAGTATATCACAGTATATCCACAAAAATATTAAACAGCAAAAATGGTTTTCAAAATGTATAATAATAAAAAATTTTTGAGAAGCAAATCAGGATATTAGCATGCTTTTTGACCGTGACACTGAAGTAATGCTGAAAATTCAGCTTTAAATTTTAAAATTCAGCTGTGTGATAATATTTCAGTGTTGTTGTTTTGATCTAATAAATGCAGCCTTGGTGAGCATAAGGATATCTTTCAAAAACTTTAAAAATAGTAGCTACTCAAAATATTTCACCAGTAGTGTAATTTCTTTTTGGGCAAAGCATGAGCTGAAAATGACAGGTTTCATGAGATTCCCTCTCTTATTGCGTGATTCTCTCATATGTGCAAAATTTTGGTTGATTCAATGTCGTGGACTTTGGTTTTAACAAAGACACAAACACGATCCTTTGTTTGCCTTCAGAATTTGCCAGATAAGAAGTTTTGGAGATTTACCAAGTGAACTTCAGCAAGCAGTGTGAAAGAATACACAAATCCTGCTGTCATCTCAACATTCATCTCTCAGCAGAGCGTATTTGTTCTAACCATGACCTAAAGCATTACAAAATCATCAACACACTGGGAAACCAAGGCCATGCATTTTCACCAAGTCCTTAATATGACAATATCCCCCCATATAAACGTCCCAGTGCTCAATTTACTCTAAATGATGCTGGCAGAGGGAAAACAACTTCTAAATCGTCAAGTTTTCTTATGTTTTGATCATTAAGAATACATAATGACCTCTTGTCTAGATGATATTTGTCAACAAGCACTTCCTGTATCTGTTTGCCTCTTTAAGAAGAATCGCTTTATGTATCCCCAAATTGTAAGTCGCATAGGATAAAAGCGTCTGCAAAATGACTAAATGTAAATGTAAATAATGAGATAATTTATGATATAAAGTGAAGGGAGAGTTGACATAAAGTAAACAAGGTTCAGGCCAGATGCATGTAAATGTGGTGAGTCAAGATATTCATCACAGATTAGCACAATTAAAATTCAGTTTCTGGTATCTATGCAGGTTTCTCAAGTAATGACCAAAGCAACATAAGTAAGCTATGCATTCTAACATTCAAATAACAAAACATCTCCTCAAAAATTTGGTCTGTCAAAGGAGAAAAAAATACATTTAATCCACCAATGCATTAGATGAGAATTATTTGAATTAGTATTGAATGAATCTGATGATTCAAAAACTGAAAATGAGTTGATTTTCTACTGGAAAGACGCATGTGTTATTTCCCTGTGCACTGATATTAAAAAAATATGGACATATTCTGCAGCTCAGTTATGAATATTAAGTTATAGTCATCAGCTGTCATAACACAAGCACATTTTAGCCTACACAGCACAGGACAAACATTCTGTCATCTTTTTCTGAGACCAATTTGCATCCATCACCATTATTATTCAAAGGACTATTGGTATGGGTGGACAGTTTATCAGTCTAAGTCAACATGAGAATAGAAGGTGATGATGATCGAGGAGAAAAGTCAAAACGCATCCCTTTTTATGCTGATCAAGCTCTTGGCCAACTGTATATACTGTGTAAGTTATATAATATGTAGGTGCACCTGCAAGACTGAAGATTGCACATTCAGCATGCTCAAAATAAATTATTTTTTTGAAGGTCGACCCTATTGTAGTATGAAATGTAATATGAAATGTAGTATCTGTATTAATTGTTCACATACTGTAGGTGTAATTCGACAACTTTAAACTACTTTTTAAATTAACGAATCAATCCGTTTGATTGGCTGAGTGACGTTCCAGAAGTGTTGATATAACAGTCACAGCATACGGACTTTTCACTATTTGTCACTTCTCTTGTCTGTGTTTGTACATTCCAAACAGATTGTCAGCCTGTGCATTAGTGGTGGGGATTTTTCTGCGGGATAACATTATGTATTTAAAAGCGAGTCATTTGAATCATTCACTCAGCCAATTTGTTCAAACAAACTGATTCATTTCGAAATGCAAGTTGTGTGGGTTGCTCGGACACTCATAATTGTTGGAGGCTTTTGTTGAACTATTTTCACTGGTGGAGAAAAGTAATCTTCAATATTGTGACTAAAATGTAAGTTACTCAATGTTAACTTGTTTAATTAGCTGTCATATAAAGTCAGTGTTTGTCAAATTATAGACATTTGAGTGGGAAAAACTGTGTGCAGTTCATCACCGCTAAAACAGATTGAATTGAGCTCCATTATAGTCTTGTATGCTGGTAAGATATATTGGGCTCTACACACCTTGGTAGACCTTTGATACATTTCTTCAGAGGTTGACAACTACATTTATAAAGCTAATCATTGCCAAGCTTGTCCTTGACAATAAGGACGCATAAAAGTCATTAACAATCATTTAATTTTTCTTCTAGCACAATAATGATGTTACCCAGCATTATATGCCTGGTGACTGCTGTGGTCACAGTTTATTCCCTTTGGCTGGTAGATGTGGTAACTATCATTATGCTGGCAAAAGGCATCTTTCTTCACTGACAGCCACTGAAAAGTAGCCGTGTATTCTTATGAAATACATTTTTGCAAGCAACATATCAATCTGAAATATTTCATTTTATTATGGTACATATTACTAGTGCCCAGTTTCTCTTTGAAAGGCTCCTAAAAACATTTACTTGTGCCGCATTTACTTGCGGAGACTCGTTCATGGTTCTGGGCTCATACTACCACACTCCACTGTAAATGATTTACAATATAAGTTAAGCTAACGTAAGCATGCCACCCAAGGGCAATGCTATTTATTTGACTGAAGCACTTCCTTTGATCTGTGATTTTACTGTAATTTTCTTCCCAGAATGCACACGTATTAGTTGTGGCTACAGAATGTCCCTAGCACCTGCACACAGAGCTCTTGCACACTGTATGAGAGTATGTCAGCGGGATCTCTCGTGTAGGCATCTGCTGTTGGCTCTAAATCTCCTCAAATAGCAGATTTCTGCAGCTGTTAGTGGCACCCGTAAAATGTAGTGATGCTTTAGTGTTATACGGTACATTCCTGCTCCTAAATAGTGTCTTTTTCATTCCCACTTAGCCACTTTGACGCACAAAGAACGTAACATGATTTTAAAGAGTGTTTTGATGGTGTTTTAGCCCGTGCCACGCAATTACTTTAGGCTGAAAATGACAGGAGAGAGTCTATGGGCTGAATCACAGCCACTGTAACAGTGTTTTGTGGTTTACTTAAGTTCTAATTCAAACTTCAGACAGAATGAAAACAACATGAAATAATACCACTCAGCCAACTTCTGCGTATCACAACATGGTCCATTATATGTTCCACACCATACTGCTGGTGAACTGCTTTCTTCAATTCAAAACTCTTATGAATTATTTGGATCCAGCCTTCAGAAGCATCAAAAATTGCAGCTAGCTGGTTGCTGGATGGAAGTGTATGTTGAATGTAAAGAACACATCTTGTGCTCCTCATGCAAAAGAATCCAATTCTCTTAGGACTCTGTGTTTTATTCCACTGTAGACCATTGCTTTTATATATTTTATATATATATACACGCTTTTATTTTAGAAACTACTAGCTATGTAGATGCAAGATATGGTTTAAATGCAAAGGGTTTTTAAAGCATTTTTAAACCACAGAAAGGCAAGACAACTTGGTTCCGGTTCAATTCAATCCCCTCTGATTGGCACAATGTAAAAACAATTAGCGTCTAATATAGCATCGGCCACGCTTCGGTGTCCCACGAGTCACCACCTTAGTTTCGTTCATGCCAACATTCTGACAGTTCAAAAACCTTAAAACCAAAAATGTCTGGGATAATATACAATAAACGCAGTCTTGCAGAAATAATAATTGTATTGCATCATAAACCTAGTGCCTCTGAACCTTTGATGTGCCCTCACGTTAACACGTATGGAGGAAACTTCAATGCAGAAACATAATTTGAGATGTTCTCCAGTGCTACATCGCCCTCTGCTGTTTACTGTGCAACACCTGCAGGGGACTCAAATATTAGTAACCAGTGCCGGAGTCATTAAAATGAACGAATAATGAACAATTCATTAAAACGGAACAATAACAGGACTATATGTTAGTAATATAGCTTCCTGACTTGAAAAGTCAGATTAAAATGCTTCAGGGTGCTAGTGTTTGGTATAACAAAAAGACTGCCCAATAAACCTTAGAACAACAGTAGTCTAGCCGATAAAAGAAAGCAATCTGTCTTCATATGCTTATAATTCAGCAATTATTTGCAGGCTTTTGTCAAAGAAACAAAACATGATGGTCTAAGCACTGATTATATTAGGTGCAACAAGGGTAGGCTACATGTCTTGATTTTGAATAAATAACTTTACTGAGAGTGAAGCAAAGTAAACATAAAAATAGCATAAAATCAACTAAATTAGAGAACAGTACACTTGTTAAAAACTAAAACAGCAGTTGATCAGAACAGCATATCCCATATGTAACCATGTAATGATTACTACCGCTCAAATGAACGGTTTAGATGAAAGCTCACCCACATCTTTGACTCCGTTAACATGATGAAAAAAAAAAGGAAAATATGTCTAAAGTGCCCGTTGTTACATAAAACACAGACCAACTATAAAGTGCAAGATTTAAAAATGCAGAGGGAAAAACTTCGGGGGGACTGGGGAGATTATTACCTTATATAGTTGTTCTCTTTAAAAGTCAGCCCATATATGCTTATGTCACTGACATATAACTGTTTTGATTCCACAGTCATGGTAATACGTCAAAAAAACTTCACCCAAAAACACAAGGCAGTGGCTCCTATATATTGCACCTATGACAAATTTTAAAAGCCTTTGTTAATTTTTCTCACATCATATTTTGTGTACTTTTTGCAAACTCTGAGCTCTAGTAACAAAATGACAACACAACACACTTTAACAAATCAGAGTAGCCATAATAACCCATTATCATATTCTTTGAGTGAAATTTCCAAATTTACTGTAACATATAGAGTATGCAGTGCATACAGTGAAAGACACCCTTCAGTGAACAAATAAAGCATTTGAATCTTTTTAAAGATTATTTTTATCTGATTAACAATAGAAAACCACTGCCCTGCAGAGGTCATATATTTCTGGTTAATTCATTTTAGGTATTTATTTATTTATTAAAAATCTGTCATTCGGCATAAATCTGCATCTCTGGTCTGAGCTCTGTCTGATGAAAACCTGTGTGGCCCACAGCTGTGGAATACAGTCTGTTACTATGAAGCGGCATGCAGCCGTAGTTTGGGAAAACACCCGAACTAGCTCGGCTGGTCTTAGGGGCTTTCGGATGTATGGATACATAGCTTTCGGAATAGTCTGAGCGAGATGGCACAAACATACTGTGAGTTCTTGTCCTACTTTGGGAAGAGGACGACAGTCTGTGGTCCCGCTCCAGAGTCATTTTCGCTTGACCAGCTTGATGGCGTGTTTTAACACTCTGCGATCTCTTAGACCTCTGAGGGTCCCTGCTTATTGTACGAATGTACTGGTAGTCTTCTTTAGAGTTGCTGAGAGTCTTATACATCAGCCTGTCCTGGTTGCGGTTTGCAACACCAAAACTATCGCTGGACCTGGTATGTTTGAAGTCAGGGCAGCTGTATTCCTTATGTAGGGTCAGGTTGCGTGGCAGTGCCATGGACTCGAGCCTGTGTTGAGGATAGTTGTGCATGGATCGACTCTGCTTCATTTTAAGAGCTGATCTGGCTCCCTGCCCACTGCCATGCCCGTCTGACTTCGAGGGCACAGGGATACCAGGCTCAGAAAGTGGGTGCTCTGGGGAGTAATGGGACACCATGGTCACCCTGTACTTCCCATCAGCCCCTTCAGTTGAAATCAGCATCTCCTTCCCAGAGTTTGACCTACTCCTAGTGTGCATCGTTTCTTGGCACTGACGGTCGCCTCTTACAAGATGGGGCTGGGACACAACTGGACCCAACAGCCTTTCTTTGGCTGCATTTTCCTGCTTAATGGACTGACTGAAATGTCGATCAGATAAAGCAGAATTAAAAGCCTCGTAGAGTGAAGGGTTCTTCATTCTTGGCTGGAGACCGACATCTCTGGTCATGAAATCAGACTCAATGTTCACCGGGAGGTTGTATAGAGGCTTGTGGTAGTTCTCGGTACTACCCATCACCTTTGATGAACGAGAGGGCAGTTTGCTGAGCGTGTAAGAGAGAGTGTATCCATGACTGTTCTCTCTGTGTTGATTGTATCGAGCCTCTGAATAGGGGCTGTACCTATATTGAACCTTCCCATCTTCAAAGTAGGGTCGCACTTGCTGGATGTCCGATGGTGGTGGTTTTTGGTAAGCTTTGCTCTGGCTGCCTTGACGCTGGAGGAAGAAAAACTTGTCCTCTGGTGGAGTGTGCATTGAACGCACCCTGCGGATGGTGGGGTAGACAGAGGCTCCATCCAATGGCGGATACCTTGGTCCTCTATGTTTATGGAGACCGACTGAGGAGTAGTCTTCCCGTTGACCCTTATATTTAATGGACTGGTGCAGGGATCGTGGCGCAAGGGTATTGCAGTAGTTTCTTGAGAGAACTCTGGGATGGGGACGCCCATCATCAGGCTGATAATAAGGGGTGCTTTGCCCAACTGGACTCGACCACTGTTGGGAGTAAGCAGACCTTTGGTCTTTGGGTTTGTACTGATACACCACACTTGGTGGAGTACTTGAAGCTTGTGGACGAACTTCGTGCACTGAAGCAGGCATGGACGTTTCTGCCAATATGGCTCGAAAGTTGGCAGCATTAGCAGCCTGTTTGTTGTGCAGCGCTTCAATGGCTGAATGACTATCCAAAGAAGAGAATCTCTCTGAAGGAGTTGGCTGTAAACTTCCATGTACCTCCATCTCCTCATCAAGGCTTGATCCACCTCCATCTGTACCAACTCCAACATGGCGGATGTTATCTCTCATAGTTGTCTGGCTCTCTGGAGCCCGCTGAATCTCAGGACCTCTGTGAGGAGAGAAATCCTGACAGGGCACATGGGTGCACTGGCCACCAGCTGGTGCATCACAACCATCAGAAAAGCTGAGTCCACTCTCACTGCCATGGCAGGCGCAGGTGCTGCGTAGGCTGCCTGCATCGGTGTGGCTCTCAGTAGACATGGTGCTTGAAGGATCTGGGAAGGTCCTGCTAGACACATACCGCTCCTCTCTATCAGATGTCTGTAGAGGAGGAGGAAACTGAAGTGTGAAGAGTGGGTTCTGATGATGAACGGGAGAAACAGGTGTGGGAGGTTCAGAGCTCCAACGTTTGCTGAGTCGAGTGGCCCGTTGGGCAGATTCAGCTAGCGCTAGAGCAAGCATACGAGCAGCACTCTTTACTGCAGGCTGGGGAGTAATGAGAGACACAGACCTCACTAACCCAGGCGTGCATTCAAATGTCACTGCACCTAGATGGAGAAAAACAAACCAACGTACTTTTAAATAGAGGAACACAGGGCTAAAATACAACTTGAAAGTGTGGTTGAAATTCAAACTTTCTTTACTTTCTGGCTTTTTCTTGCTGTCCTAAATATCCTATTCCACATATTAGGTCAAAATGCTAGCTGTGCTAACATTGTTGGCTTTCTCTCATTGACATTATTAGCTGTCTCTATCCCAAAATATTCCTTCAGGTAAAATGCTATAGCTAACATTTGTTAGTTTTCTCTTGCAAACATTCCCAGCAAGGGGTATTCATACCCTTAAGCTGGTTCCAGGGGGAAAAGTTTTGATTTTGCATAGTTAAACTAACAAAACAAAAGTACAATATTTTGAAACACGTTAGGGCTGTAAAAATATACAAAGCTCTTAATTTATTTACTTTTGTAATTAACAGCTTAACACCTTCAGTTACTGTTTTAAGGAGAGTAAACAAAATAATGAGTGTTGGGTTTGGCAATTTTTGTGGATGGCACTTGTAGTGGAACATATGTTCCTTTATATAAATATATGGATAATTTTATTATATAGTATGAATACAAGAATGGTGCTGACCTGAGTCTGCTCTTCTGTGCTCCCTGACATCTGCGGATCTACTTTCTGCTTTGCAAAAGCTTGCAGAACGCTGATGGCCTTCACCACCTTTTGTGGACACATTGGGCTTTTTCACAAGGGACATAATGTCAGAAGGACAGGACACAGTACTACTCTTTACCACTGAGCTCTTTGCGGTGCTCTCATGGCCAGTCTTAGAGGTGCCCAGTTCCAGATTACTTGAGGTGACTGGCACTTCTTCTGAGCGCAGTGGGATAAGATCAGGTGGCTGGGAGGGACTTGTGACTTTGTCAGAATTCTTTGACTCTGTGTGGCTGCCTCCCACTTTCTTGCGACTGCCTCTTTTCTTACTTTCAGATAGAGTGGGATCAACCAGCTGTGTGGACTGAAAGGCCAATGGGTCTATGTCTAAGGAGGCTATGCCTATAAACTCAGAATCTGCTGCAGGGTGGGGTGGAGATATTAGAGCTGGCACACAAGAGGAAGAGGAAACGGTGTCCTTCTTGTGGTCTTTGAGACTGGACCGGGAGTCTCCAGTCAATCTGCTGTCCAGCAGCTCCTCATTGAAGGAGATTGATAAAGCATCACTGGTGGAGAGCGGTCTACGTGGACGATAGATATGTGATCCACCTGAGACAAAACATCAGAGATCAGCCCATGGATGAATATATAGTAACAACTGTAAAACAGCTGACAAATCAATGCAAACAACTGTATTAAAGGCTCTGTAATGTTGCTCTTTCTCCTAAACCACACCACCAAAAGCATATCAGCAAACCCCGGAGACACATTAACAGAGACAGATGTGATATCTCAGGAAGCATATTTCAATGTTATGTGTTATGTTATGTGTAGAGTGGTATAAAAAATGCTTAGAACACCTTTAAGTATGGAAATGGAAAAAAGTGAAATATGATTTTTACCCTCAACGTTATGTGAAGAGGACAGAGATTCTTCACTTTTAGCAGATCGTAGTGTTCCATTGTCTCCTCTTCCGCCTATAAAAGTAAGCCAGAGTTTAACAACTATATTTTTCTTTTTTCATCCTGCTGACCACATATACCTACACTACCGTTCAAAAGTTTGGGGTCAGTGTGATTTTTTTTTTTTTTAATTTAGGAAATTAATAATTTTATTAAGCAAGGATGCATTAAGTTGATCAAAAGTGACAGTAAAAACTTTTATATTCCCACAAAAGATTTCTATTTCAAATGAAAATGCTGTTCTTTTGAACTTTCTATTCTTTAAAGAATCAGGAAAAAATATGTTTCATATTAAGCAGAACAACTGTTTTCAGCATTGAAAATAAGAAATGTTACTTAAGCACCAAATCAGCATATTAGAAGGATTTCTGAAGGATCATGTGACACCGAAGACTGGAGTAATGACCGCTAAAAATTCTTGCTTTTCCACAACAGGAATAAATTACATTTTAAATTATTACACACTTATTTTAAATTGTAGAAAATAGTATGAACAGTTCCATCATTACTTGTGAGCATTGCATATAGTGTGAAAATCATGACTAAAATGCCCTCTAGGTTAGGCAGCTCACTAGGATTTGGAACGAATACAGGTTGATATTGAAAAGAGAGTCAAAGCTGCACCTGGAAGGGGAGTGGTTTTCATCTCATTGGGCTCACTGGGGTGACGGTGCAGTTTGGGCTTGGCAGTAGCAGAGGACTTTCCCATATTAAAGAAGGAAAACCAGTTTCCCACAGGAGACTTCTTCACTTTGGTTGAGCCCTTTTTCCTGTATTTACCAGCAACAATTACCAGTTACTACTTCACATCTGCATTTTCCTAAAAGATGAAAATACCACAATACTAAAACCAGTACAAACTGACAGACCTCTCAGAAGGGAAGTCTATGACGGTGTGGAACTTTCCCTGCAGGGCGGCAGGCCCCCCTCCCACATCAATATACTTGCTGTTCGGAGACACAGGAGAGATGAGCTGGGCTTGAGTTCGGGCCTGGGCTTCCTCTAGAGAAAGCAGCTTGGTGGATGGAGAGCTCACCAGTAGAGACTTGGGTCGAGCTAAAGTCGTGTGGCCTATGGATTCAGGTTAGAGTTATGAGCTCATTTAAGATCCTCATTAGTAGAGTTTCATCTAAACATCAATACTGGTGGGAGGAGAATCGCAGAGGCTCATTTCTCACCTGTGCTGTGGCGGATCAGAGTGCTGAGTTTGGGACTGAACAGAACATCAACGTGATTAAGGATGAACTCAACAACAACCGACTGAACGCGAACTTCCAAGAAAGCAGAGGTGCCGCTGAAACATGCCGACTCAATCTGTTTAGACCTGCAGCAATGAATGAGGAACAATGAATGAACGCAACTTTTCGACACAAATAACATCTTTATAGACAAATTTTCCAAAAGGTATTAGTAAAATCACCTGAGAAGGTTTGGAGCCCAGACAATTGCGAGGTTTTTGCAGTGCATGTTGGTGACAGCACTGTAAGTTCCCATACGTGATAAATGTCTCATGAGAAACTCAAGAGTCCTGGAAACAAAGCATAAGAACAAATGGATGAACTATCACTAAATATAAACAAAAACAAGTATTTTTACATTAGTTGTCACACATTAACTCAACACCATAATGAGCACAAAAGAATGATGTAATCATTTGCACTTCTCTTTTTCATCAGTAGAGGATGCTGTGCGTTCATCTAACCTGTAGTGTGGTGGAGGCAGCTGCTGTATGACGTCATGGACTTTGACCAGCCTCTCCTCATCAGTGGCTGCTGGTACAGCATCCTGGGAAAATATGCCAAAGCATCACCTCTCTGTTCCGATACTGCTACTACACAGTTGCAGAACATATGTGTGTCCGTGTACTGTAGCAGTGGTTTGATGCTTACTGAAAATTTCTCATATAGCTGGTAGGTCAGCAGTGGGTTTGGCAGCTCCCGGAAGTAGAGTTTGCACAGCGATCCCACTGAATGAATGTCCTGGACGTAGTTGTCCTTAGTGAGATCTGGAACATGCTCCGAGTCAAACTCATGCCTACAGACACAAGAGGGTAATGCATTTTCTTTAGTTTAATATATAAAATATATTTTTAAATAATACAAATATATAATATAATTTCTTTTGTTTAAACCAACATATTTTATCAGAAAGGGCAAAGGCCTGTAAATGCTGTTTTTTTTAAATATATATATATATTATCATGGTTTAAACAACAATATTAAAGGGGTCATATGATGCTTTTTTAAAGATCATTATTTTGTGTATTTGGTGTAACAGAATATGTTGACATGCTTTAATGTTCAAAAAACACATTATTTTTCAAATACTTCTATTCACGAACAGCTTGTAACACTCCAAAGAGAAAGGAAAACTTGAAATCGCATCATATGACCCCTTTAAGCAGAACACCTATTTTAAACATTGATAATAATCATAAATGTTTCTTGAGCAGCAAATCATATTAAAATGATTTCTGAAGGATCATGTGACACTGAAAATTCACCTTTGCCATTGCAGGAATAAAATGCATTTTTAAATATATTAAAACAAAAATTTGTTATTTTAAATTGCAATACTCATCGTTTTAATCATATGCTAGATTTAATTATATCGCATGGAATTGATCTTACTGATATAGATATCGTACCT